CCTTGGGGGTCGCACAAGCCTTTCACATGGGTCGCCTAAGACATCTGTAAACACATATACTCTACAGTTATGAAGTATCAACGAAAATAATTTTGTGGCTGGGGGTCGCCACAACACGAGGAACTGTATTAATGGGTCGTGGTTAGAAAGGTTGAGAACCATTGTTCTAGACCCTTATTGTCTTTGGCAGGATGGAAGAGTTCCTGTACTGAGTTATTGTTGCTATGAGCCGGAACTGCCTGTCATGGCCTCGACGCTGTCTAGGGGGAGAAGGACGAGTTTCTGTTTAACGCTCGAGAAGTGGACAAGCCCATTTTCGATCTTGAACAATATGGTGAGCCTGGATAATCGTCGTCATTCTTTCGATGGAGACCAGCCCAGTGTTTCCACCATGCTGCCAACAGGTGAGATGTTCCTGTAGCGGCACAGGACAAAGCGTGCTGCCCATCGCTGGAACGCCTCCAACCTGTCGATGCTTTCCTGGGTGGACGGATCCCAGACTGTAGATACGTAATTTTAAAAGGATAAACTAATTTAAAAATATATAAATTGTATTTTTGTAACACGTTTTTACTTTCTTGGGTCGGAAGAAAAAGATTTAATCTCTGAAAAGTGTGCTTCAACGGTAAGTCTGCCACGTTGCCGTAACGCGATTTCGTCCATGTTCTTGCATATTTAGAGCTTATTTTTAGTTTAACGCGCGTTGTATACAAGTTTTAAAGCCATACATTCTCATTTTTTTAAAAACAGTTTAAATTCTTCAATAGCAGTATTGTATTTAATTACATTTACAAGGAATATCCCAGCCTCAAAAGGTGCACGGCACAACCAGCTAACTCACGGCACAAGAAGGTACGGTGGTACCAGTGGCGTAGCTAAAGAAGATGCGGACCGCATCGGATGACACCATCTCATGGTGGTGACACAAAATTGAAAAAATGCGTATTTGCAGAGCACACACTGCTCGGTCGAACCGAATTTCATAAAAGGATAAGTCTGCACACTTACATAATTTTACAAACATGTGACTAATCTAAATGCGTGCTTCATTAAAAACTCAAGGTTGATGCGTCAGAAAACAGGCGATTATATAATTAAGAAAGAAAGCACCGTTTTGACCACTGTTCAATGTCCATTGATGTGTTTCGGTAACGTTCATGACAGGAAGCTGTTATTTATATACATTATGAGACATAAAGCTTTCCATCGATAGCAAATACGATGTGATCGTTCGATTCTAAGTATATGAATCGTATCGTTAAAAAAAAATTAAAAATTTAAAAATGAATTTTAACCCATTTATAAGGTTAACGAAATAATATTTATAAAAAAAATTCTAATACCTTTTTTTTAATGACTGGTTTAAATTTATTAAAATTTGTGAAAAAATGTATTTGAAAACAGATATATATATATCGAAACCCAGAAATACTAAACACACTAAAAAAACACAATTATTTTCGCCAGATTCCTCACAAACCTTTGAGCACGATTGACAGGTTTTCAGCTTTGAAGAGCAGGAAAGAAAAATTGTATATAATGTAAATTTAATGGGAAAATAACTATGACTTAACGTTGTTGCAGTTCTTAAATGCATTTACCCCCTCACCGTCAATTGGTGTGTTCTTCTTCTTGTCATTGTTATGCGATGGAATTATTTTAAAAGTAGGAAATCTATCGCGGACATTTGGGGTCGGGGATTGGGGAGGGGGGGGGAGGGAGGGAGGGGGGGTGACACCAAAAGTTTACCGCACCTTGTGACACCAACCCTAGCTACGCACCTGGGTGACACATCCGTTGAAAACCGCTGGCCTCGACAAAATATTAATTATATTATAATTATATATTTTTAAAAAAATAAAAATGTTCCTGTAATCGTAAATTTGATTTATTAAATTTTCAAATTCCCTGACTGTAAAAGAGGACAATATTTAATTTTTAAAATTAAAATCCAGTTATGCGCGTGTACATGTGTGTATATGTATTTCACTAACTATTTCAGAAAAAAAAATATTACGCACCAAACGAGCTTGCGATATTTTTATTTTTTTTTAAAGAATTTTTTTAAAGCGCAGTTATCGGGAATTTTCATTCATATTCCTCACGAAAAACAGGAGAAACTGATTTTTGGGGGGTAGGTTGGTGGTGCTGAAATATTGAAAGAATGCGCTGTCATCGGCAACGAGTGTGTGTGCAAGGTTTTCAAGGTACGATAGCTTGATGGGACGGCGGTCCATTAGCCGTCCGAAGAGTTTCTCTGCTACCCAGCCAGCTATGCCAGCCACCCAGCCAGCTATGCCAGCCACTCAGCCAGCCACTCAGCCAGCTATGCCAGCCACTCAGACAGCTATGCCAGCCACTCAGCCAGCTATGCCAGCCACTCAGCCAGCTATGCCAGCCACCCAGCCAGCTATGCCAGCCACTCAGCCAGCTATGCCAGCCAGCTATGCCAGCCACTCAGCCAGCCACCCAGCCAGCTATGCCAGCCACTCAGCCAGCTATGCCAGCCACTCAGCCAGCCAGCTATGCCAGCCACCCACCCAAGTTAATACAGACGATTTAAAAATAGCGCTAAAGTTTCAAATATTTTTGATTTTTTTAAAAACAATGTTTTTTCCCCCTTCTGGAATTAGCCCGAGCACAGATTAGTAATAAGTTAATCAGGAAATTAACTAATTTACTTTTTCACAATTCTTCTAAATTGAACTCGTTACCATTTAAGCTTAAAGTGACATTTATGTAAACAAAACAATAATTTGGCGTCAATTGTTAGAAGAATTATGTTGCTTTTTTTGAACTTCTAAAACATTACTAGTAACATACCCCGGAAACTAAAAGCCCAGTTTAACATTCCCTTTCCTTGATAATGAGTGGTTAATTAATCTGAATAGAGCTATACTTTGAAATCGAATACGTTAGATAACATATTAAATCATTAATTGGGATTGGTGCCATTTTAAAATGTATATTAAAAGTGTTTTTAAATTATATTTTTTATACTAATGCTAATAGCAACATATAACTAAATCAAGAATAAACACATTTAACACAATTTCTCCCTGAACACGATTTGCTTTTTAAAATCGACAAAGTGTCTTCCATTTGTGATGCTAGCCTTTTTGATAGTAATGAAACATGAACTATTTCTGTAGTTTGTAAAAAAAAGTTTTTAGCGAATTCCTAGCAAAAACTTGATACATTAAGTTTATTTGGGGCTACAAATATTTTTTTGTAATCTATCAATTACGGAGTTTTTTACGCCTACTCCCACAAATAGCAAATTTATTTTATGAAAAGAATGATTTATCTTGTAGTGGAGGCTTCAATGAATATGCATAGAAAGGCAAGGGCAGAATGAAATAGAACGTAGATAAAGAAAATTGGAAACTTGATAGAAGTGGGTCGTATGGTTATTCTTGCAATACAATTGTATAATATGCTTGTAATGTGAAACGGTCTAGAAACGGTCACAGTTGAACGAGCAGTGAACACATCGTTCCTGCTTTGGTTACCTTTACAATCTGAATGACTTTGAATTCATTGCAATTCGCCGTAGACAGATATTTCGACAGAAAGGCGATCAATGACAGCTTTTGGTATTTTCATAGCGTTTTTAGAAAAAAAAAACTCCCTGTTTTGTCAACTAAAAGTTAAGAGTATTTCGTTGTATAATCTGACGCCACTCACTCTAGATCATTTCTTTAAAATTAATGAAATGTATATTTTTCATAAATTTAATAGAAAGATATTTGATAGGAAGTAACCAGGATCAATGAATTCATTATGTTTGAAGATGGGTTCATCCCCCCCCCCCAAAAAAAAAAAAAAAAAAAAAAAGGTGTACTTATTATGGAGTAAATCATGAATAAAGTTTATTTAAAAAAAAAAAAATTAAAAATTAAAAATCAAAATAATATAAATAACACAAATGATTTATTCCAAAATTGACAGATTACTTTTTTAAGCCTTAAATTAATAGCGTTTGATTTATCCTTGATTAAATGTGTCTTTTAATAACTATACTTTTATGAAGGCGAACAATAAGAAATTATTCGTATTTTTAATGTTGGTTTTGTTCTTTTTCTTTGTTTGTTCTTAAAAAAAAAACTTTTAACTTCATATATATATATATATACTTATTATTATTATTTATTATATATATATATATATATATATATATATATATATATATATATATATATATATATATATATTAAAACACTTTTTTTTTATATATATATATATATATATATATATATATATATATATATATATATGTTAAAACACCTTGGTTTTATTATAATAAATTAGTCTATCAAATGGCTAATCAAGAATGAAATTAAATCTCTACAGTAGTTTGTCTGATGATTTGTTAATTTGTTAATGGCTTTGGGCTAGAGTGCAGACGACGCGTGGGATGGTAGGGGGGAGGGGGGTCGACGCATGCTTCAATTTGCACACTTGGCTTTAGCAAAACCATACAATTTATTCGTGAAGAGTTTAAAAAGATTGGATGTGTTATCAAAGCTATTTTATATAAACTCAACGATATATGTTAAAAACATTTAAATAATAAGTCACTAGATTCGATTACCAGGTCAATGAGTAACTAGTTGAGCTTAAATTCACGGGAAAGTGGTCACGAATAGCTGGGGGTTCTGTTATAGAAAAGCTCCTGTGTCAAATCTTTACACCCGGCATGAATCCGTTATATCACTGCGGTTCCCTACGACGATTTTATCGCTAAGACTCGCTGCAGTGGTATCGACGCCGTCGGTGATCACACTTCGATACTTGGGCAGGCATTGGGTTGAGGGTTGCTACCATATTTTAAAATTAATTTCAATTTAAGATATCCACACTATTTATGCTTCAATAAACAAAATATCTAATTTTTGTATTATGTTCAATTTGTAAGTGTAATTCTTTAGTTGATCGGCTACATTTTAATAATTAGCTGACCATTGGTCGTCAGACCAAATAATTGAGAATAACACCCCCTACCCCGGACCACTTTCCATTAAAAATATATTGAACTATAAATACAGCAATGCGATCTTCCTTTTAAAAAAAGGTCTTAGAGTTTATGTAATCATCCGTGTTATCACCTCTGACTGTCTAACCCCAGAATGTGAGAACCTTTACCCCCGGCCTGTGAGTTAACACTTTGACCAGCGTCACAAAATGCCTTCATTGCCTCAACCGTATTTTATTTCTTTTTGTATCACGGATGTCAGAATGTTAAGAGCGTGCTCTATGTCTCTGCCTTACACTGGAGCCCCACTTCAACTCGCTCGACACTTCAAATTAAAAAGAGGATTCAGTTTTTAAATAAAATATATACCGTAATCTCAAGAAGTAAGGGGGAACAAATGCAAAAAAACTCTTAAATTTCTAAGGTTCCTCTTGTCTCCCTTTTACTTCTACTCCACTATTTCAAGTGTTACAGCCCCCCTCCCCCCCAACTCGTTACGTCGTCTTGCCTTAGCTTTTTAAAGGTTATTTACTTTAAAAATTGTTGTTGTTTTTTTTTCTGTCGTGAAATTTCTTACTGGGCATTGTCAAGACATGAACCGTCTTAATAAAATAAGAATGCGCTCCCTTACCTCTCTCATTGTCAGTCGTTACCAAAAATAATCATTTCAAATAAAATCTTTTATTATCTCTAGCTTAGAACCACAAAGTTATTTAAATCGTCCCTTTCTTAACGGTAGATCGATACACACAATATGGTATAGACGAAAAGAGTTTCTAGTTCAGCCTGAACTCCACCGGGTAATGGTCGCTAATCGCTCGGGTGCTGTCGTAGTTGAGCCCGAGGGCAGTATCGAATCTGTAAACTTTGGCAGAGTCGGCCACGATATCCGCGTTGCCTTCAATGACGATCCTGTCATAGGCGCAGTCGGTGGTGGTCGCCGTGGTGGTGTCGACGGTGTCGGCAATCAAGCTCCGGTACTTGGCGTCGTGAAACAGGGGAAGGGTTGCCTTCTCCTGGTTGTTGAGGTAAGAACAGTCGGCATTGAAGTCGCCCATGGCAATGACACCCGCGGCGCTGGGGAAATGAGCTTTGGCAGCTGTCATGGCGGTTGGCAGGGCCTGTGAGGAGAAGACACAAGTTGGACAATTGAACAAAGTAATTACAATTTGTGATATATTATATATATTAAACCCAACACTGTTTAAAATGATGTTATATATTATCATAGGAAGATTCATAAAATAAGATATATAGAACACATTTACCATAATGTCCAAGACCTCCCGCAGCATGGGTTAAGATGGGTGCCCTCAGGTACCCCCCTTCTCCCCCCCCCCCCACACATACACACACTTTGAAAAATTAGTTATCAATGGCTCACTTGTATATTGGACTTATGAATGTGTCACAAACTAAGTTAACTTAATAATTGTTTAGATCTTATGAATAGGCCAGACACTATTAAGAAAAGGTGAGCCCTTTTGTGTTAAATGACATATTATCCAACTAAGGGGCTCTTAAATCATTTTGCAGCGCCTCGCCCCCAATCGATTTCAAAACATACTTACGCAATACTCTCGTCAAAAATACTAATAAAAATGCATGAAATACAACAACAAAAAACAACAACAATAACAACAACTGATTGTACACGCGTCACTGCATCCTCTTATACAGCCCCAGCATCCCCAGGTCTAAGACACCGAATCTCAACGACCTTGACTGACGGATGCTTTGGGACAAAAATATCCCGCGGATCTTTATACATCATCTAATCTATCTGTATTCTGGTAACCTAGGTGGGGGGGGGGGCGAAAGGGAGAGGGCAGACAGTTACCGCCACTCCCCCAATCTCACCAGGATTTGATCGTCCTATAAATCAAGTGTGTTATGGGTAACAGGTTCATGGATAACCGTATAAAAGTTAAACTGCCGTGATGTACTACAAACGTCACATATCAACTGTATTTTTAAATATATACCAAAATTAATGTCCGGTCGAGAGGTTGTTATATAAATGACTACAGAGTCTCCGGGAGCCTGCTACATTTAATGTTAGAAATACGGCAGTTTAAACTTTAAACAATTTTATTTCAGGAGGTCAAGTACCACGAGACACCGTCTTCGGTTATTAGCAGAAGGTTGTGGGAAAAATCGTAATCACAATAAAGACTTAAGTGGCCAAGTTTTGTATGTACTCATAGAATAATCTATTTTATGCAGGTAGCACAATGGAATAGTGTCGAAGGTGAAAGAAAGGATATCAGAAGGTAACCATTCTTATTTCTTAAAAAAAAAAGGCTACGAGGAAGCAAAATCTCTCAAGGGAAACAAAGAAAAGAAGTCATTAGACACCACTATCATAAGACCAGTAGTAACTTACGCATTGAGACTTGGTCCCGTACCAGAAAAGCAGAGAACCTGATCAATATATGGCAGATGAAAATCCTTAGGAAAATGTATTTCCTAGTGATAAACAATGATGTTTGGACAATGCGTACTAACCAAGAGCTATATCATTTGTACAAGTCCCCACCCAAAGTCGCAACACTAAAAAAGGCAGATTGCTCTGGACAGGACATGTTGATAGGATTCCCGATTGTAGAGCAGCAAAAGTGATCTGTTGGTAGAAACCTAGGGGGGCAGACGGTTCACCGGTCTACCAAGACTGAGATGGATCGACAATATAGATAAGGACTTTCACCAGGTGGGGGTTCACGCACAAAAGGCGGGAAGCCATGGATCGATCCGAATGGAAGGATGTGGTGGAACAGGCCAGATCCCTAGGCGGCTGTAGTGACTCTGATGATGATGATTTTATGCAGGTATCTTAATTGGACTTCTTCACCTTTATCTATCTATCATGTCTAATTTTCGACACGGAAGTACTAAACATTTAAACAAACAGAATTGACGCATGTCAACGTTACATGTAAACTCTACTTATTGTTGATTTTCGAATAGACACTAAGTCACTGGCGTTGGGAACGTGTGGTTGAAATCCACCCTGGACGGCATTTTTTTGTTTATATTAAGTTATAGCACTTTCGACCTAGTGCAGAGTTTTTTCGTGGAAAGGTGGCACAAAAGAAGTCGTGCGTGTTGCTAAAAAGGGACAAAGACCCTGAATGAGATCTTTATCTAGTGCAGTCGCTAACTCCCATTTATCGTTATTAAATCTTTAATATAATAATTGTCTATAGGTTTAATTCATAGCTAAATATGAACAATTCATTGAAGTAATGTGTAAAATATAATATGGAATGAGTAAAACAAAGTAAGGTCAAACCTGAAAAAAGGAACGCAACAAAACAACGAACGTGTCAGCAGGAAGCCTTTGTCAGCAAACAAACAACCGAAAAAACCAGAATAATTTAAAAAAAAATAAAGCACATAGCTGATAAGTAGTATCCGAGAGGGCAGCAAAATAATTGTGACAGAAAATAAGTAGGTGAGAGATGAAATAGGGAAGAAGGAAAGAAAATAGGAAACATTAGTACACTGCGGTTGGTAATGACTTGGAGGGGCGGAGCTAGGCTCAAGCTATGAATAAAGACATGACGTTCATGCCATGTGGTGTCAAGATCCATAGGTCAGGATAAGCTTGTTCTCCAAATTCACCCGGTTGGATGTGTTTGTGCTAGTCACGATCGCACTAATTGTAAACTCAGCCGCGCCCTTATGGTCGCTTCTATTGTAGTGTTCAGAGACGAGATACTGTTTATTTTGCTTAATACCACGGATGTATTCAGTACACCTGTCCGAGAGTCTGCGTCCTGTCTCCCCTATGTACGACATCTGGCAGCAGGTGCAAACAATATTGTAGGCCCAATTGCGGCTAGTACAAAGGAAATCGTCGCGTATCTGAAAACTGCACTTAGGGAAGCGTATGTGTTGAGTCTGCACGATAAAAGGGTAGATGTTGATGCGACTGCGCACAAGGATGTCTCTCGGATTTGTTTGCCGCCTGAAAACAATGAAATGCGGGGAAGAAAAAATGTCACGTGTTTCAGTGTCAGCGATGAGTATGGCACCTTTTTAAAGGAAAACACGTTTGGTTATTTGATTGTGAGGGTTTTAAGTGATAATAAGTTTTGTCCTGTCAACGTTGTCGCTCGGGAAAGACCCGAAGGCATCAGCACGGGTACTATTTATCTTCAAATATAATATTTTAACATTATGAAAAATTCCAAGCACATTTTTAATCCCACGTGAGAATCAAACTATGATCCGAATAAGCCGCTGCAATTGCATGTTTACTGTTACTCAGTCGATAATTTAGCAATAATACGGACATACAAAGATGAATTCAGTTGATAAATAATACAAAAAACTAAAAACTGACATTATACATTATAATTAATATTCTGATTTTTTTTCAACATTTTTGTCTATTAATTTTTTTCTGTGATGAGTTTTATTCCTGGAAATAACTTTTTCCCGAGCCTTAGTTTTTCCCTACAATTCGACGGCACACCTGAATGGATCACTACTTTAATCACACACATTTTAAATTGCCCGATGTACTCACATGTAACTCATCTGATGCCTTATCGGGCTGTGTGTGTATACCCATCAGCACAACGTTCACGGCGTGGCCCCGTGACGCGGACGTGTACTGTATGTTCACGGCGTACGGTTCACGCTCGAAAACATCTTTCCCGGAATCATCGTACTGGAAATTCCCGAGGACGCGAACCGAAGCCTTCTTGTAAAAGAAAACATACTGCTCCTTGTAGCTGGCCGTGCGTCCCACGGGATTGCTGGACACGTAGTCCCAGGCGGTGGACCCGAGAAGGTTCTTGAGCTCGTTGAGGGCCGAGTGGTCCGGGTCACGGACCTCCTGGATGAGGACGATGTCGTAGTGGCTCAGCACCCGAGAAATGTCATGGCCCTGCTCCGTCTGTTTCGTGTCGCCGTAATGTTGAATGTTGAAGGCTCCGACTGTGATGGGCGCCACCTGGTGTGTCAGTGAGAAGATGCAGACAGCGAGGAAACACAAGCGAACTTTCTGTGATGGCATCGTGAAATTGCTTTTGTGATCTGCGGATGTTTAAAGATATGATGAGTTAAGAAGAATGTCCACTTTTAAGCCACCCTTTATAAGAGTCCTTTAAAAAATACTCGAAGTAGACCAGAGGGATACAGATTTTTAGAAACCAGGGGCGGATTTAGGACGCAAACGGGGAAACACGCACTCGACGGTAGTTTCTAAGAAGATATAGAAATATAATCGAAAATACTCTTACTTTAAGGATATGATAAAAATCGATTTATAATAGTTTACATGAAAATATCTACTTGTCTTATACAGATACCTGTGTTTGTGTTAAGTACACGCCCCTGGTTGCAAAACAATTCACTCTGGGGCGTAAATGTGTCAAGTGCTAGTGTGTAAAGAGAAATTTTGAACTAAACCTATCTGTTGCCTTATCTATTACCGTCGCACCTATTACAAATGGGACATTCTTCAGTTGAGCGCCTCTCGTTTGATTGCATCTAGGCAGCCAATTATCATTAAATAAAATCTTCGTTACGATTTGTCAACAGCAAGAGACACAAATATTCTAATTTAAACTGTCCAAGCTTTTCATTTCTCTGCACCCCTTACAAATTATGGGATTAAGACTAGTATCCCTTACAAATTATATGATTAAGACTCGTACCCATTACAAAATATGCGATTAAGACTCGTACCACTTATAAAATTAAACTTGCATTTAAAATTGTAAAAAAAAAAGGACTTTTTCCGAATCACAAAGAAAACTTTTAATACAAAATAAATAAACGTGTGAGTTATCAGATTAAGAAAATGTTACTAAACAAACTTATAAATTAAATACACATTTCTTCAGGACTAAAAATCAACGGCTCCCCGCTTCTTGTAAAACCACGTCTTTTCGAACCCACTTTGAAATGTCACCTGAAAAGCCCTGGGGGTGTGAAAACCCCAGGTTGGGAAAACCTAAAATCTAACCTTTTTTTTTTTTAAAAATTTTTTTTAAAGAAGGAAGATAAGTTGTCAGTTAAACGGACATCGATATTCTATTATTTTACAAACAATAATGACGCAAACAACAACAACAACAACACAAAAGTAAGAAAAGCAAGCGAGGAAATGTAAAATGAACGAGTAGTATAGGGTGAATGAAAGATGGAATTGAAAGAAAACCACTGAGCAATGAAGTAAAATAATGTATCGGCAGCAAGTCTTCGTCAGCCAAGATCGTGAAAAAAAGAAGAGAAAAATGGAACCTAGCTTGCTATTGGCGGGAATAATGCAGGAGTGACAGGAAATTGTCTAAAACCCAAACATGATGTGTTACCGTGGAGGCCACATGCATAAAAATAATTTAGTTACACTAGAAATGGAGGGAAATGTAGAATAACCTTTATGAGAGTATCTGATTGATTCCATGAGAAGGCATGGCGCGCAGCATCGACTACAGACAACCCATTCCAGTGCTGTTTTGGTTGAATTTTACTGTTGAGCTGTTTTGGTTGAATTTTACTGTTGAGCTGTTTTGGTTGAATTTTACTGTTGAGCTGTTTTGGTTGAATTTTACTGTTGAGCTGTTTGGTTGAATTTTACTGTTGAGCTGTTTGGTTGAATTTTACTGTTGAGCTGTTTGGATGAATTTTACTGTTGAGCTGTTTGGATGAATTTTACCGTTGAGCTGTTTGGTTGAATTTTACTGTTGAGCTGTTTGGTTGAATTTTACTGTTGAGCTGTTTGGTTGAATTTTACTGTTGAGCTGTTTGGATGAATTTTACTGTTGAGCTGTTTGGATGAATTTTACCGTTGAGCTGTTTGGTTGAATTTTACTGTTGAGCTGTTTGGTTGAATTTTACTGTTGAGCTGTTTGGTTGAATTTTACTGTTGAGCTGTTTGGATGAATTTTACTGTTGAGCTGTTTGGATGAATTTTACCGTTGAGCTGTTTGGTTGAATTTTACTGTTGAGCTGTTTGGTTGAATTTTACTGTTGAGCTGTTTGGTTGAATTTTACTGTTGAGCTGTTTGGTTGAATTTTACTGTTGAGCTGTTTGGTTGAATTTTACTGTTGAGCTGTTTGGTTGAATTTTACTGTTGAGCTGTTTGGTTGAATTTTACTGTTGAGCTGTTTGGTTGAATTTTACTGTTGAGCTGTTTGGTTGAATTTTACTGTTGAGCTGTTTGGTTGAATTTTACTGTTGAGCTGTTTGGTTGAATTTTACTGTTGAGCTGTTTGGTTGAATTTTACTGTTGAGCTGTTTGGATGAATTTTACTGTTGAGCTGTTTGGTTGAATTTTACTGTTGAGCTGTTTGGATGAATTTTACCATTGAGCTGTTTGGTTGAATTTTACCGTTGAGCTGTTTGGTTGAGTTTTACCATTGAGCTGTTTGGATGAATTTTACCGTTGAGCTGTTTAAATGTTGCTGTTGAGCTGTTTGGGTAGAATTAAACTTTTGAGCTGTTTGGGTTGATCTTCAGTTTGTAATTTTTAAAAATGAACTTGAGCATTTGTAACCCCCTCCCCCCACATTTTGTTTCGTCTTGTCACGTGAGGCCATTGAGATTCTACATCATTTTATTGCTCATCGTTGACAGAACGGATGCAACATTTAATGACGTATTTTAAGTTGAGCTAATTTAGTTAAATTTAATAATGTAGGTAATGTATGCGTGACAGTTAACCTTGAACAATTATAAGGCAAAATATATTTGGAAACGAAGCTCTCAATCTGTTAATGTCGTCATGGCTTCCGAGTCACCCGATTTCTTATATTTGACACGGGGTCACGACATTGACCCCTCCCCCCCCCACTCCATTATGACAAAGAAATGTAAATCTTTTGTAGAAAAAAAAACAACAAAAAATCAGCTATCTCTGTTTCAGTGCTGAAATAAGTGATAGTAATCAAAGTTAAGGAAAGCTGAGACAATATAGGAGATAAGAGAAAATCTGTTATTATGTGTTCTTTGTAACGATATCAACGTTCTTGTACTTTAGACAGGTAGAAACAATGCTTTAATGTTGACTGCCTGTTTTGTTGTGAGACCGACTAGTCTGGTGAAGACACGAGCATCTTATCTCATGGCACTATCCAGTCACGCGGGCTTAATTTAGGTGAATCAGATATTGGAACGTAAGAGGTGGGGACAAGTACGTCACATATTCTTTAAAGTGCTGGTGTGGCGTAGTGAGGTGAGACGTTGGTGTGGCGTAATGAGGTGGGGCATTGGTGATGCATAATGAGGTGGAGCAATGGTGTGGCGTAATGTAGTGAGGTGATTGTGTGGCGTAATGTGGCGGGCCGATGGTGTGTTGTAATGTGGTGAGGCGATACTGTGGTGTAATGTGGTGAGGTGATTGTGGGACGTAATGTGGCGGGCCGATGGTGTGGTGTAATGTGGTGGGCCGATGGTGTGGTGTAATGTGGTGAGGCGATAATGTGGTGTAATGTGGTAGAACGACGGTGTGACGTATTGAGATTGGTCGATGGTGTGACGTAATGAGGTGGGGCGAAGGTGTAGTGTAATGAAGAGGGACGATGGTTGGGGTAATGAGATGGAACATTGATGTGGCGTAATGAGGTGAGACGTTGGTGTGGCGTAATTAGGTGAGACGATTGTGTGGCGTAATTAGGTGAGACGATTGTGTGGCGTAATTAGGTGAGACGATTGTGTGGCGTTTTGAGGTGAGACGATTGTGTGGCGTAATTAGGTGAGATGATTGTGTGGCGTAATTAGGTGAGAAGATTGTGTGGCGTAATTAGGTGAGACGATTGTGTGGCGTAATTAGGTGAGACGATTGTGTCGCGTAATGTGGTGAGACGTTGGTGTGGCGTAATGAGATGGGACAATGTTATGGCGTAATGAGAGTGGAGGATGGTGTGGTGTAATGAGATGGGACAATGTTATGGCGTAATGAGAGTGGAGGATGGTGTGGTGTAATTAGAGTGGAGGATGGTTTGGTGTTCTGAGATTGGATGTTGGTGTGGCGTAATAAGGTGAGACTATGGTGTTGCTTAATGAGATGGGACGTTGGTGTGGCGTATTGAGGTGAGGCGTAGTTATGGCGCAATGAGTGAGACGATTTTGTGGTGTAATGAGATAAGATGGTGGTATGGTGTAATGTGATGAGACATTGGTGTGGCGTAATGAGGTGTGTCGAGTGTGGGGCATAATGAGGTGAGACAAACGTGCGGCTTAACGAGGTGAGACGAAGGTGCTGCGAAATGATTTGGGAAGCTGGTGTGGTGTAATGAGGTGCGACGATGGTGTGGCGTAATGAGGTGAGACGATGATGCTGCAAAATGAGGAGGGACAATGGTGTTGCGTAAAGAGGTGGAATGATGGTCTGGCGTACTGAGGCCAGCTGTTGATGTAGCACAATGAGGTGGGACGATGGTCTGGCGTACTGAGGCCAGCTGTTGATGTAGCATAATGAGGTGGGACGATGGTCTGGCATACTGAGGCCAGCTGTTGATGTAGCATAATGAGGTGGGACGATGGTCTGGCATACTGAGGCCAGCTGTTGATGTAGCATAATGAGGTGGGACGATGGTCTGGCATACTGAGGCCAGCTGTTGATGTAGCATAATGAGGTGGGACGATGGTGTGGCATCCTGAGACGGAACGCTAGTGTTTCGTAATTAGATTGGAAGACTATGTGTCGTTAGGAGGTGAGGCGATTGTGTGGTGTAATGCGGTGTGACGTTGGTGCTTTGTTATTCAGTGGGATGATGGTGTGACGTAATAATGTTGGACGAGTGTGTGGCGTAGTGACGTTACATGTTGGTTTGGTGTAATGAGATGGGTCGATGGTGTGGAATAATGAGGTGGAATGATGATGTTTTGTAATGAGTTGGGGCAATGGTTTGGCATCATGAGGCAGGTTCCTTGTGTGGCACAATGAGGTGGGACGCAGGTGTGTCGTAATGATAAGGGACGAATGTTGTGTCGTAATGTTATGCGACGTTGGTGTTTCGTCATTGAGTGGAACGATTGATGTGACGTAATGAGTCGAGACATTGGTGTGACGTAATGAGTCGAGACATTGGTGTGACGTAATGAGTCGAGACATTGGTGTGACGTAATGAGTCGAGACATTGGTGTGACGTAATGAGTCGAGACATTGGTGTGACGTAATGAGTCGAGACATTGGTGTGACGTAATGAGTCGAGACATTGGTGTGACGTAATGAGTCGAGACATTGGTGTGACGTAATGAGTCGAGACATTGGTGTGACGTAATGAGTCGAGACATTGGTGTGACGTAATGAGTCGAGGCATTGGTGTGACGTAATGAGTCGAGACATTGGTGTGACGTAATGAGTCGAGACATTGGTGTGACGCAATGAGTCGAGACATTGGTGTGACGTAATGAGTCGAGACATTTGTGTGACGTAATGAGTCGAGACATTGGTGTGTCAAAATCAATTGACATAATAATTCCAACCCAGTCTGTGTTATCAGATGTATATGTATATTATCGTAATTAAAATT